AATGCCTTTTAAGACTTTTTAAGGACCCGCTGAAACCCTGTTCCTGTTTAGTACAGCCATGATTAACAAGAGTTTGAGACAAAATTTCACATTTTAAAAGGCCCCAGATAGATAAAGCCAGGATCATCCCTTAGCCTAGGGTAGTGTTTATTTGCTTTGTGTACTCTGGATGTAATTCACTAATTCCAGGAACTTCAGGAGTATGACTTTGGTTGGCCTTCATTTGGGGCCACCCAGTCTCTGTAGCAGTATAACAGGAATCAGTACTGTCCGAATTAAGTCAACCTTTTGTCTCCTACATGTTGGGCTTCAGCAGGGCTGCCCTTTATCAGAATTAGAAATACTTTAATAATCACAGAGGGAAATTACTTACTTTTCCTCATTACCAGCCTTACTCAGAAATTTCATCGACAGTATTTCTAAGAAAAGGGTGGCTTTCTCTCAAAAGGATGAGATCAAGTATGTTGGGGTCCTGTTTATAGGTGAAGGCAGAATGGAATAGAAGATCGGAATACGGATCGGTGAGGCTGTAATTGCTCTAACAGTCTGCTGTGGTGAACAGAGAGCTGAGCAAATTTCACCTATGGTCATAAAATCTGGGTCATGACCAAGAGAACAAGATCCCAGAAAAAAGTGGGTGAAATAAGCTTCCTCTGCAGGATGGACAAGACTCCCTTAGAGAACAGATGGGGAGCTCAGCTGTCATGGAGAGGCTCATAGGAGAGCTGCTTGTCCTTCACATAGAACAGTTAGCTGAAGTGGCTGTGACATCTTTGTCGGATGCCCCCCTGGACACCTCCCTCAGGAGTTGTGTCCCACCAGGGGACGTTCCAGGACAAACTTTAACCTAAAGCTCTGAGACATTTCTCCAAAATTCAAGACTCTTTGCAATCTGTATGTTTGCTTCTCATCTGTAAGGCTAAAAGCTTCCTGCTCCTTTAGCCACTCAGAAACAGTAATGAAAGTCTCCTCCATGTTATAGCAGTTCTCCGCTTTACAAACATTTTTCCTATAACACCTGAATATATGTTGTTTATACCTGCATAAAATTATAAAAAAAATATATAAAAAAACAAACACAACCGTTATAGATGTCTAGAGAACAGAACCACACTTAAATGAAATGTCATTGATCTTTTAAAATCTCTCATCTTGTCCTGGCATTTAGCTATGAAAACCATTTTGTTGATCCTGACTGACCGACAACAAGGAAAGTTTAGTTACATTTAATGTCAGGACTCTGAGAAAACAACGGTCACCCAGTTTTAACTGTATTTAAAGGCTTAAAAATATAGGTCACAAAAACAAAAAAAAACCTACCTTAAGCTGGCAGCCCACTCGTTCATATGCTTTAATGAGCCTGTTTTTGTGATACATCATAATACCATAGTGGTCTTTACTTTTGGTGTTGTACCCAAAAATGATGGGAATGCGTTTCTCCTGCAGTGACAGTAAAGAAAAAAAGGAAAAATAATTAGGGAAGTCTACCAAAAAATATGAGTAACAATGTCTAAGTCTTGCCATAAAAAAGGATACCAGAAACATGGGCTTGTAGTAGTCCTTTCTGATGTAAGCGAGGCTTTTAGCGATGAGCTGAGACTTCACTTTTTGACCCCGCACCATGACCTGCATACGAGGCTTCAAGTATAAAATGCTACAGTAGGCCTGGAACACATGAACACACACATATCAATGCACCGCTGCAACCAAAGGGTTCAAGGCCTTACATTAAAGTAGGAATTAACACATGAACTCTAGACAAGCAATTTACATGAGCGCTGATGATGCTTCATCTTAGGAGGGCAAAAAGAGGCATTATCTGTACTCATCTATACAAGTAGAAGTTGTGTGAGGGAATAATAGCGTGCAGACTACTGCTCCTTACCCGCAGTGAAACCACACTCTCAGGAACGTAGGATGTAGCCCTGTTTAAAGGCTGAGACGGATCACTTAGTTCTTCATACACCTCTGAGGGAATACGGATATCGTAGCGATCGGTCCCAAAATCAAACTCTGTTGATCCCGTAGAGGTCCTAAAAAACAAAGACGGTCATCTTGAATGGATCTGAAAATGAATGCCATTTGTTTATAACCTGAGGTGTGCGAACAACATGATTGTTCATGATTCACCCTCTAAACAGTAAAGACAATTTAATTTTACTGCATTTGGAAACACCAACGTACAACTTTCTTTTACAGTTTAAACACAAAATAACTGCAGGCCTGGGTGTCATGACGACAAAAATCAGCAGCTATTTATTTCATTCTTTAATTGTTGAACAGCTGAATCTTTTTATCTCTCACTACCTTTCCACTGCCATTTTCTCCCTCCTGAATTTTCACAGAATACTGTACCAGTGTCAGCTTTTCTTAGGGTTAAGGGTCCTGAGAGCAAAATATAACCATCTAATGAGGCACCAAATGTTCAGGTCTGTGTGTGGATCACAAACAGACCTGCGGAGATTCCAGATGATGATCCGGGTGCCTGTTTTAGCTGTGGACGAACTGATGGCATCAATCTCAGCGAGAAGCTCCACTTGAGACTTGAAAAGAGAATATTGCAGGATGTCCCTCAGACTTGCTTCTTGATCTTCATTTACAGAGAGTAAAGATATGGTTAAGGAAAACAGATGACAGAGACTTCCTCAAACTGTTTAATACGTCACAATTTGGAGGGAAAAACACTTAAAATATATTTTTACTGTGCAAATTTTTGCGGGTTGGTCAAAGGATATATGTGTTTGCAATCCTATTTTTAAAAGAAATAATAGGCACAATTATTTGCTTGGCATCAATCATCTCCAGGTAGGTCTGGGAAAGCATCCCGATGCACGACACGGTCTTCGACTTGGAGAACACAATGGCATCTTTGCCGAGACGCATGGATCCGGACTTGAAGCCGTTACCATAAATACCGATGGGCTCCAGTCCATTTAATGCTATCTTGTCGCTGTACCCAAAGCTGAAATAGAGAAATAAAAATTTTTTCCCTATATTATAATATGCAAACAATTAAAATAATCAGAACAGAAGAGAATTTACAAACACCTTTTAATTTAGAATTCGTAAACTAAATTATGGCTCTGTGTTAAATACGCTGGTAAAGATTCTCAGTCATCCAGGTCATAGTCATTCCAAAAAAGTAAAAAAAAACAACAACAATCAACTGGACTAAGTTTCCAGGTTTGAAGACGTTTCGTGTCCCATCCAGGAAGCTTTTTTAATTCAAAAGGTCAGTATTAGGAAATGCTTTATATAGTAGCCCAAAAAGTTGTTTTGGCTTAGAAAACATGCAAATTGAAACCAAAAGAACAGGTCCCCTTAGGAATGGGGATTGGTTTTGGGTTCTTTGTTAGCCTGCAATACTGATACCGGGCTATGCCTCTGAAAGGGGGGTCGTTAGGGGCAATTGTTGGGTTGGCAGCCCAGGTGAGATGTTTTGTCCCCTGCATGGGGGTGGGGGATTGAAATGATAGCTGGAATGAATTAAGTCTATCGCTGTATTGTAGGTTTTTAAGAACTGAATCCTGAGTCCATCCTCTCTGTTTAAGGTTGTTTTTTCTTTCTTAACATAAACGGCTTCCTTCACGCCCCCCCCTGTCAAACTGAAGGCCACTCACTAATTCACAAACTGAAGATTTAAAACAGCCTCTTTGGGTCTAGTGTAAGTACACGTAACTTTGATTTATAGTGTTTTGATTTTTTAAACTCTATTCTTTTTGCAAGTATGCTGTTATTATCCTCAACTTTTTTCCCCCAATGTTTTTAAAGTTAACCTACATGTTTACAGATCAACTTTAAGGTTCTGATACTAAATAGGAGGGTTTAAGTTGACCCTTCAATATGAAACCCCTGAACCCCCTCTATGATTAATATCAACTGTAAAGGGTAATATGGGATAATGGAAGGGATGTTGCTTACAGCAGAGAAAAGAAAGACTTTTTCTGTGACTGAATAAAAGAGACACATTGCAAAAAACCAATATACCTCTCTAAAACCAAATGAATAAGCATTCCCTTTCAGATCCGATAGAACCTCCTGTACCTGAGCATCTTGTGCATAGTTTCATGGTCGAGGCCATTTCCATTATCCATGAAGCTGAGGCAAACCTCGTCTTTGACCACAGTTTTATCAATCCAAAACCGCTTGGCGCTGACATCTGGATCATAGGCATTATCTGTCAAAAAAAAAACAAAAAAAAAAACAGATCTGATTTAACAAGCTTTTAATCTACATTCTCACAAAACACCCTAAATTATAACCACCAGTTGTTTGAGAAGCCAAATAAAATATTAGATGCTATGACAGCTACTATAGTTTGAAATTAACACATAATTTCCTTTGATTCGTTTCACGAATCAATAATCAATAAGCACATTAATCTGATCAATTTTGTTTTACTAATCATTCAGAAATATCAACATTTCTTTCAGACAAGTTGAAAAAACAGACAAAAAGACTCAGAAAAAGAAAAAAACAACATATTTAACATTTTTGCATCTTAAAGGAAGCTTTGATCTTTTTTTTTTTTTTTTTAATCAGAGCATTCACACTTAAACACTTCATCATAGTATTTGCTTTTGCATGACTTTTAAAATCTACTTAAGGTCTAATATTGATATTATTTTCACACATGTATAATAAAAACAATTCTTAATACCTACTTTTAAGCAGTTACATTAATTTTCTGAGCAGGGCTTTTGTTTTTACTTGTTTAATAGTTATAAATCACAATAAAAAGGGATCCAGTCGAGCTTCAAATCAACAGGCATTTCGATCAGTTGTAAGCAACATGTGCAGACATGATGAAACCAGATTACTTTGGCACCAACCTCAAAAATAAACCGTCAGAATTATTTACATAAATTGGAGGAGCACTGATTAACAATCTGAGTCACTGTAATTATAGACTGTTGCGAAAAGCAGCTCCCGTTTTGATAAACACTGGAAAATTCAACAAGTATGCACGGGGTAAATCTCAAGAGAGTCTGGCTGCAGACTTGCACTGTCAGGAGGACCCTTTGTTACAGAACTGTAAAATGGTGCCTCTTGCCGTGTCAGGACCGGAAGATAATTTTGGAAGTTCTGTTTGAAGCCTTCGAGAATAGAGCAAGAACGTGTTTGCTGCTGGATTAGAGTTTCTGACAGTGTTAAACTGAGCTTAGGAGCAGTTTAAATTAGTACCGTATTTTCACGACTATAAGGCGCACATAAACGTCTTTTTTCCCCCCTCAAAATGTGCGGTGCGCCCTATCTGTGTTGTAACTGCGACTTTTGAGACCACCTCATTGAGGAGATGATAAAAGAGTGCCTGAGGGAGGTGAATGTAAAGAGACCAGGTGGTTTTTTTCCACTCATCACCATTGCTGTTAATCTGTGACTCCATGCGTGCCCATCTCACAGCTGATGTGAAAAACATGGTGAAACAAATGAATGCTGTGCTTTCTGTTATTCAACCGCTTGACATCGGTGTGAACCGGACGCAGCAGGTGCAGCAGAAGCAGTGAGTTTACATTCAAAGTCAATGGTTGACGCGCAGCAAAAGGTCCCGCAGCGCGTTTTGAGCAGCAGGCGCGGCGCGTCTGGAGGGTTTAAGCATGTGACGCGCTGCCAACGCGCTGCTGCTGCTCGAAATGGAAAAATGGAAGTTTTGCTGCTGGATGTGCCGCATCAACCAATCAGAGAAGCTGATCTGGGAGCTGACAGCGAGACAGACACAGCGCTCTGATGACATATGATATTAAGGCAAATGAAAAGGGCTGGATGGATGAGGAGATGATGAAAGTGTGGCTGAGGCATTATTTTTCAGGAGCCGCCCGGCACGGAAATTGGCATGTCTGATTTAGCGCAGC